GCATTCTTACTTTACAGCATTTTTTCACATCTGCCTAAAACTTTTGCACAGTACTGTGTGTATGTGTGTATAATAAATGTAAGCTTCATATGTTAATTCTTTTCTAATTAAAGTTGTGGCCAACATATATACAAGCCGGTATCAACATATAAATATATGACTTCATAATAAAAACCCAGAACAGAATTTAGAAAACATCTGTGGATTCCACATTTTCCCACCTTCAGCTGTTTTCCAATGCAGAGAGAGTAAACAGCCTTCTCCCAGCTTTCTTCTTTTCCACACAGCTGAGAGTGTAGGATGTTTACACCCTCTGTCACTTGGATTTATTCCGGATCAATTGCAGAGCAAGTATTAACCTTCATAAGCGGTTAGAAGGGGAAAAATATTAACAGCATGAAGAAGAGATAAGATACATTTCCCAGAAAAAAAAATCTCCTGAAGCAGAAAGACACAATTTGGAGAAGTTTCTCATGCCAAAAGTGTCCAATATTTCCAAATGAACAATAAATCCAGTACGTTTACATTAGATCCATATCTCCAAGCTCCAGACCATTCCAGTTCAAAATATTTTCAAGTCTCCCGATGGTGATGAGTCCACCTGCAAAACAAAGAAAGAGATTCTCCTTTGACGCAAAGGCTGGATGGCCAGTTGTCAGGAATACTATAATAGTGGATTTCTGCACTGGGCAGGTGGTTAGACTAGAAGTTCTCCAAAGCCCTACTCAACTCTCACATTCTATGATTCTATGAAATATTAGTCACCTGAGATTTCCAGTGTGTGTCAATGAGTCCACGGGCTACGCCTCCTGTCTCACTCTCCTTGAAAAGAATGTACAGCCTTTTATCTTTTTATACCAAACTAAAAATAGTGATTTCAAAGAAGGTCCTCTGTTATGTTCTTAGAAAATCAAAACTATCTTCTGGGGAGGTTGGCACATTTTCAAAGTTAAGCTGGGGAGCTAGCAAAGTATCTTGGGAAGCTACGGAATATGACAGGCAGCAACTTCATCATTTTCTTTCTGACCGAGGACTGGCCCCGTGTGCAGCCGTTTTGTGAATGGGCATGTTCCCATGCAGTCCAGTTCTCCGAGAACCTGGGAAATGCTTTCAAAATGTTATATCTAGCCACTCACCCAAAAGACTGAGGATCTGTTTTTAGCTTCGTTACTAGCGTCATTTGAAAGAAAAAAATTGGTACACAGGTGACCAAAATGTTATCTGCCCAACTTTTTGTCAGCCTATTTAAGCAATTCTTTAGTGTGAAGAATGCCACCATAATATAAATAGATGATTTATCCCCAATATTTTTTAAAGAAATGGATATGTAAAGCAGCCAAGTTGATTTAATTGCAGAGAAGCAGTTAAAGTTATCTTTTATTCATCAAACCTTATCAAATGGGAAACATATTACAGTAAAATTGGATTTTTCTCAGCCACAGCCCTGGCAGGAGTTTGACAACTGTGGTCAGGACCCCTTAGGAGTTCACAAGCAATTTAGGAGTCATAATGAAAAACACACCACCACCCACAGTTTGCAAAGTCTTAGAACCATTGTGATATATGCATTGCCATTTAATTATGAAAAGTGGCACGTTTGTTTCTTGCCCAACTCTAACACCAATGTGACCATTAGTTTTATTTTGGGGGGGAAGGATACAGTACCCCATAGTAGAAGAACTGACATAAAGCCATGCTTTCCCACAGTCCTTGCCCCATTTCCTCTTCTCCCCCTGCACGGAATAATGAGTGCTTTCTCTATGCCAAATGAAGCAGGGGGCAATGTTGAAAAGGTGAGATGCAACTATTCTCTGCCTTTCCTACATGGGGAAAGGTATTTATGTACTAAAAACCATGGAGCTTTCTATGTAGTTACAGATGGAGTGGGCCTTCAGGAAAAAGAGTGCCCATAAGAGACACTTTGTGGCATGCATCTGTGCTATGAGTCTCAACTTCTCAATTCTTTCTGCAGGGTGTGCCATTTCTTTAGAAGAGAAATTCTCTAATACTAATTATTGTGAGACTGTTAAGCCTGTTAAGACTCAGTGACAATATGCCATTATTCAAAACCAATTTCTTTCCAGGCAACCAGTCTTAAATAACACTGACCGGATTCACATTAAGCCATAGTTTAACAGTTTACAAGTGTATGTAATCATGTAAATAAATTTCAAACCTGGTCCAGGAAAAACAAGAATTAAATCAGACATATCAATAACATTGTGCAGTAGTCTAAAAGAATTCATTCCCTTCCTGAATGTCATTCAAGTATGGAAATCATTATTTAAACAACATATCCAGCATTAGTTTTGTTTTAAGGAACAGAAACACCAAAAGAAAACCAGGCTGCTTAGTTGAAAAATGCTTTGGTTCCATAGATTCTGACACAAACTTCCAGAGTGAAGCTTGATTTTGACCTTGTTGCTTTCATGCCTCTGAAATACATTTTGTCAGCTCACAAAATGATTATCTATTGTTTCCTAACCCCAAAGGAAGAGTAGACAATGAAAGTTGGTTAACATTTAGGTAGATATGAATAAATACTGATTTAAATGAATGGAGTGATACTCTTCAAATTAAACATTAGGAAATACTGCAACAAGCAAATCAAATTTCAAACAACCTACAAGCCAATTTCTTTAATCACATTATTGACAGAAAAAAAAGTTATCTTGCTCTTATACAGAAAAGTAAATCACACTGACAGAATAAATCAGTAAAACAAGACTTTTTGAGGGTATCTCTAACAAACATGGTTCAATTATAGAAGACTAAAGCTTGAGAAGGAAAAGCCTATGTCATACCAAAGTTACTAATTAAATTTGGTTTGTTGTTTCACTGGATATTTTCATTTGACTCTGATCTACCTGATGATTAATCTAAAACCACAGAATGGCATAAATCTTGCTTTGTCTAATAAAGACAGGAAAGTCTGGTTCCCTTTTTAATAAACTGGATGTTCTTGACCTAAGTTTACCTTCCCTAAAATGTTTCTGTCTTACTTTTTTGGCAAGCGTCCATTGTACACACAGGAACAATGACAAAGGCAAACTAACATAACTGAAAATGGATGGAGTGGTGACAGACAACATGTGGCAGTATCTAGAAAGCTGGAATAGCAGGTTCAAGTTTCTTTCCATCTTTCTAGGCTTTAAGCAAATCAGCAGTGTTTATCATGACCTCAGCATGGTTTTTATCAGTATCTATCTCAGAACTCTGATCTGGGAATAAAATAACCCCCAAGGGATGTTACCTAGAACTCCAGAAGAAGGAACAGAGTACGAACATTTGGATGTTACACTTTAGTTACTAGTTTACTAGACTTTCTCTTTTCACATACAAAGCAGTCAGGATTTATTCTAAACTTCCTTTTCTACTACACAACCAATCAACTCATCACTTGTTCCCAGAAACTTTGTAAAAGAAGGAGAACAAGAGAAAGAGAAAGAAACATATGCATATAAACAAGAGGAGATAGCAGATGGGCCCAAAAGGGGAACTAGAAGAACATTTTGGGAAATTAAAAGGAAGAAGGATGGACCAAGAACAAGAAAAAAAAAATCTATCTTAATAAGTATGTGGAATAAAAACTTCCGAGGAAGCAATGGCAGACTGAGGGCTCCACAAGAATGGAGCCGATGGCAACAGCGAAAAGAGGAGCCAGTGAATGGATCGGCTCCTTGGAACTCCTCTCTCGATTAAGGAGAGGACAGGATCGCCCACAAGTTTGCTCCATGCAGACGCTCCTCACAAAGAGATTGTAAAGCAGTGATCTTCGGTGGGTTTGAAAGCACTGGAAGCTGGGGGGAAAATCATCCTGCCTCAGCCACAGTTTGACGCCTTCAAACTGACACTGGGTTCACCTACTTCCTTTCTTAACCAACTTAGGAAATTGCTTGTTATTGATTTTTTAGATGTTAAGAACCTTCTGAAGGGCAAGTTTCATCACACCGGGAGAGTTTCCTTCTATCCCGGATGAAAGAAGTTTCATGTGAGTTTAACAGTTAAAAAGAAAAAAATTAGTTTTTGGAAAACAGCAAAAGGGAGATTAGAATGTTGATTTTGGAAAGTTAAGGGGTCAGATGGACTTGAAAGAATATTTCCTGTGGGTTGTTTAAAATCTTATAAAAGAATATATGAAGATTTTGAAACTAACTGTAAGAAATCCTCCTGTGAGAAAGTTTTGCTGATTGGAAAATAAACATATGATAAGAGGGGACTTTGAAGGCTGACTAGAGGGAACCAGAGAGGATTACAATTAAAGGAGAAGAGACCTATTAATACAATGGAGCAATATTACCTGACTATAGAAGAAATTAAAGCTGTTTGGCAACAATGTACTCAGAAATTACTTTCAAAATTCTCTGCCACTATAAAAATGGATCTAACAGAGGCTACAGAAGAGGAACAGATTTTACTGGACAAAATATAGACTGAGGCTGACTTGAATGTGGATTTGAAAACAGGTTTTAAAAAAATGCCAGACTACAAGAGTGATGTGGAAAAAGATGCTATGGATTTGAAAATGGATTTAAAAATGACAGACTATAAGGGTAATATGGAAAAAGATGCCACAATGGATTTACAAATGAAACTGGCTGATGTCTTAATAACTAAAGGGGACGTACAAATAATAAATCATAAGAGTGACTTGGATAGCCTTCTTATCTTGGATTTACAAAAGGGATGTATTAAACTACTGAAGCTGTTCCTGAGGAGACAAAGAGAAAGTGATAAGAAATCAATCTGTGGGACATTTTTTGACGAGATTAAAGATTAAGCATTTTAAAAGTAAACGGAAGGAATACAAAGTGGACTTATTTGACCAGGGTTAAAATATATATGTTGTGGTTTCTGGTAACTATTAATGGATTTTTTTTTTTTTAACCAGGACCAAATAACTGAGGCTTTAAAGATTTGTTTATAAATAGGGAGAGATTTCTTTTGCTTTATTTCTCAGAGAAAGTGATAAGTTGGAATACAGAATGGATTTATTGAAAGTTAAAATATATATGTTATTATTTTGCATAGTTCTTAATGGACTTTTACTGATTAGAGCTGAACAATGAGTTTTCACAATCTGTTTATTGATAAGAGATAAGACAGGGGAAGAAGAGGGTTTTTTTTATTGTAATACTAGAGAAGGTATTGAGTTACTGAAGTTGTTCATACTTGTCTGGAGGGAGGAGGGAGTCATTTTTTTATATATCTTTTTTCTTATTTTTTTCTTTTCTTTTTTCCCTCTGCACTTTTATGTTTTCTTTTCTTTACTTTTTATATTTTCTAAGTTTGTATTAGTCTTTTATCTTTGTATTTGTAAACTTTAATGCAATTTTTACAAACAATTTTTTTTTACAAAAAATAAGTATGTGAAGTAAAAGGGTATTCATTCCCCAACTTATTAAGGAACAAAGATTGCTTTTCTAACCCAACATGAAGTTGAGTCCTATGGTTCCTCCCTCCTCAAAGAGTATAACTGAGAGGTTGAGTATTCTATCCCTTTGAAGTAGAATTGAATAACTATGCCTGACAAAATAATATTTTTCCTTAAAAATATGTCAAAAGTTCCATTTATGTTGTTATGGTACTCTTAGAAAATGG